TTTATGACAGTGTCATGACAGTCTTATTCAACCCCCTTCAAATAAAGTGTTACCTAATATTTTTACATTTCCTGTCTCCTTAACATCTTTTAATACAAAAACATGGTGGACCGCCTCGACGCCCCAACCACCAGGCTTAGCAAGTTTTCTGGGGGAAACCCTTTAATGGATAGATGGATGTTTTCAGCAAATGTTGTATTGCAGTGAGTTTCAAAGTCAAACTAAATACGCAATTTGTTGATTACTGTAGATTCTCTGCAGTAGACTGAGTAGTAATTTTTTACTAAATTAGACTTTCCATTGAAGTAATACACAGAAACATTAAGAGCTCACCTCCTGTTTGACCACAAAAAGTTTTTGGGAGGGAGACACTGGCAGATCCTTCACAGAGTTCTCCTCCACCACTAAGTGTGTACATTGGTCATCTCCAACCTCAGCATATCGGCCACCTGTCACACACCACAGAAATCCATCCATCAGAGTGAAGGATGAACCTCTAAAGCAGGGGTCCCCAAACTACGGCCCGCGGGCCGGATCCGGCCCGCCTCCACATTTGGTCCGGCCCCCTGAACAATACCAGAGAGCGTTCAGATTTTTTTTCATTTTCCGGTTTATATGTGGATTTTTCTTCAACCACCAAGGGGCTCTTTAGCAGGAAGGGTGTCCTGTAAACTGTGGGGCGCATTGCTGCCATCTGTTGGACTTTTAGGGAACTACTTGACTTTATGTTATTTAATCAGTATGGTTGTTTGCTAGCGGTAGAGCAGATGAACACACGTGTCTGTTTTGAATGCCGCATTCCAGGTTGAATTCTTCGAAGCAATGCAGCTTATACTTCAAAACGAGCCTTTATGTTAACATATGAGAAATTATGAATATATTATAGTTACATTCCCTCAATGGAATATATACTAGTCAGTCCCAGTGATCGTTTCACTCACTTACTGGGTAAAAATAAATCGAGAAATTTTTATATTGACTGCCCCTAGTAATCTGGAGAACTTCAGTTTTCTGGAGCAAGTCAGCAGCATTTTGTGTCATTTTCCTTTTTGCTTCTTTCTTCTGTGTTTGCAGCATTTTTCTGGTGCATTTGTTCTTTATTTTTTGTGTTTTGTAGTTTGCATCATTCACATGTTTACAGCTTATTTTGTCATTTGCTTGGCTCTAGTTATTATGAAAGTCAGCTTCTAAAATATCATACTTTAGACTTTGTGGTGAAGATATCGTGTGAATTGTGGAGAACTGGTCATGCCGAGGTGTAGCTGACTTCACTGTCAGAAACACAACTCTGTAGTTCCTGAGTAAACCATAATGTTGTGATACCATGTGGCAAAAAAAACAACAAAAAAAAACAACAACAACAAAAAACACATTCCCCAAGACATTTTCCAAAGTAGAAGTACTTCATCTGAGAAAATACTTAAACAATAATATCTTCGGTGACATACTATATTGTTTGAGTAACCCATTAAAATAAATAAATAAATAAAATAAATACATTTCAAGTACAACTTTGCTAAATGTAAGAAAGTAAAATTTACAGGAGAAAAAAATAGCTCCATATGAATTAAATCACTAACCATGTTTAAAAGTCCTCTCCTCCATGTTGACCTTCTCTTCCTCAGAAAACCCCAAAAAACTGAGGATGCAGTTCTGGAAGGGAGGGACTTTGAACTCTGTTCGGAACTCCTCATCATTGGCATGAAAATGGCTTAATGAAAAAGAATTAGAGAAACAAGGTTGCTCAGGAATGTCTGTGAAACACATTTCAGCATTTGAAGAAATTGTGGGGCAGCAAAGTAAAGACTTCATGTTTTATATGCTATGTTGCATCAATCCAGAACCTTCCATATGTGCTAATACGCAGATCATGTGTAAACAAACGGGTTTGCACAAAATCTTTATTTTGTGTTTATTTCAATCCTATGCTGATGTTTTATATTAGCGAGCAATATATGGGCACTAACGACAGTACTGGCAGATATTAGTAATTTTTTACAACAATGATGTTCATCTGATAAATAAAACTCAATATTAAAATTATATATATTACCATTTTGTTGATTGTTTCTGGATGGGGGAGTTAGTCACATGGTATTTGTTTGGTTATGTGACAGTGATACAAACAAAAGGATTGTGGGGTGTTTAACTGAAGCGGAGAAGAATTGGGGAAATCAGCATTGTGTGGTTGTTTTTTTTTGCAAAGTGTCAAAAGAGTAGGGAAATATAATATCAGTAAAAATCTTTTAGTGGCCATTACATCATTATTAATGTCCTCTTTTGGTCCAAATGTTCATAATGGTGCATATCTATTTTATATTGTGGTGTTAAGCTCAAAAGAAACCGGTTTACTCTGGTGTGGTTATATTCATACAGTAGTCTTTTCATCTGCTTTCAGGATTTTTAGGTTTATTTCGAGCCTGTCCATTGCCTTCCTGTGCAACTCCGCTTGAAAAAAAATTCTTGCTTCCAGCACATTCTGGGCTTTCTCCTCTTTACTTTGATTGTCTCCTGTAGATTTTTGACCAGACCAATCAGCAAACAGAAGGAGAAGTTGTGAATGATTATGTTGATTTTCTGTCCTGTTTTAGAATTGAAGTCTGCCTGTAATTTCAGCAATGGCAGCAGAGAAAGAGAACAAAGATGTTCAGTCCATGATTGTCACTCATCCAAATACTGAACTAACATTAACAACCACCTTGCTCAGATCAGCACTTCCCTCTTCACAGTGGAGGATGGATGTTTACAGAGCAGGACATTTCCAGTAAGCTTCATAACATCAAACTGACACATTACATATATCGCCAGCAAACATTAGTAAGTGGGTAAAATGTAAAAGTTCCATGCAGTCCTCGGTTCCAGGAAGCAATTGTTTCTCAACAGTCAAGAGCCCAGACAAAGCAGATAGTGTAGGATAAGTTGCTGGTTTTTACCAGGCTAGTGGTAATAAAGCATGATGTTTTACTCACACATGGTCTCTTTTTTCCCATGCCTTCTGTATCCAAGATGGAGAAAGAATGGGAGTTCCCATACACACCGCCAGCTGAGACAGAAAGAGAAGAAAAAACCCATAAGCTACTGGTGTAGCTCATTATTACAGCTTCTGGTTCTGTTTCATTCATCATAAACACAACAACTTTCTCCTCCAGGTGGAAAACAAAAAGAAGAATAAAAACAATTTCTGGAGATAAATTATGGTTCATTTATCTTCAGAGAACTTCACTAACTACCTCAAGTACTATATATGATGCACTGATAACTATGTAATCACTGATGTCTAATAACAGCACCGTATAAAGAAGAAGTACCCATCAAAATAAAAGTCTGGTGATGTCAAGAAAGTGTCAAATATACTGAAGGAAAAAACAGACCTAAAGACCATTACTCTAAAGTCCTGGCAAGTCTTGAAATATTTTTTGAGGAAGCTAAGGCCTCAACTACACTGCTGTGGGTAATTTTTTTAAAAAAGTTCCTATTTGTCAAGTCTGAAAAGAAAGAACAACAAATATTCTAAATCTGTAGTTCAGAATTCTTGGGGTTGTTTTCTCAGATATGGATGTGTAAAGGACAGAGTGCTAAACATTTTCCACATTCTTCCATCTTGGTGGCGAGTTCCAAGTAGCATTTCATATTTCCATAAACATTTTTAACTACAGCAAACTAAACCCAGAAATGTCTGATTCCTGATGGGATTCACAAAAAATATGTCTACTTTGTGTCTTCCACAACAAACTGAACACACATTATTATACACACATATACATGCCGGACACAAACATGATGATATAAAATATATAGGAATGTACAGACCCTGTATTTCTCTCCATGAGTGGAGTAAGCAACAAGATGAGTGACCTTAGCACTGAAGTCTTTCCGGATTGTTCCACCCATGTGATGGACCAAATTCACCAAGCTTTTCTGCAAGGCAACCTTGAACATTAATATCAGGAAATGAAATATTCAAATTGATTAATACTCTACATACACAGAACTGGAACTTAGGGGAGCAACGATAAACTGGCCGACCAGTCAGCCCCAATTTTGGGAGATCGGTGATTGGCTGAGACATGAGAAGCTGATCTTATCTGCCTCCACAAAGGCCTTAAAAATCAGCCACTGTCCATTCTACCTCCCTCTCCCTGCTTTCTGTCTGCGTGTGGCCTGGTGGCCCACACTAGTCACCCCATTGTTGCGAACTTAACAACTTTGTCGCTTAGTAACTTTTCAGACAAAATAAAATAAAATAAAATAATAACAGCAGGTCAGATTTTTTTTAAAGACTGGTGATCTGCCAGAAAGCTGCAATCGGTGCACCTCTACCTGCTGTGGCCAGAGATTTGATGGCAGAAGCAGACAAAGTTTATGGTTTCTACACGTGATAAACTGCAACTAAACCTTTTTTGATGCACATAATTATTCTCACCATTTCCTCCTTGTTCCTGAAGCCAGTTAAACACAGCGACAGGTTCAGCATGGCAGTGCAGTAAAGAGGACGGCATGAAAAATGGAGCGGCTGCGGAGAAAGGACTAAAAGTCAGACATTGAACATGAATCATTCCTGCAGGAGTTAACAGTTCTGACATTAAATGGTTATATGATGACCCTAAAGTCTTTATCAGGAAAAAACAATGAAAAGAAAAGCTTCACACTCAACTTTCTGAAGCTCTGACTACTGAAGAGTAAATGTTGCTATAAGTTTATGGTGGATATTTCAATAGCGGTCAGTCTTTAATTATGAAACCTGGAAAAACAGACACTTTGTGATAGAGAAAGGATGGATAAGGAAAGAAAGGAAAGAAATGAATCAATGAAAAAAAGATGAAAGGGAAAAGAAAGGAAAGATCAGATACATGAAAGGATGAAGAAAACGAGAGGATAAGATGACAGATAAGGGGAAGGACAAGGAAAGAAAGGAAAAAGAAGGAAGGAAGGAAAGGACATCAGGGACAAAAACAAAAGACTGAAGGTAAAAAATGAAGAATCGGGTAAAGGAAAGGAGGACGTATACAAAGAAATGCAAGACAAAAAATGAGAAATTTTAAAAAGTAAGCACAAAAAGGGGGAAGAAACAAAGATAGCAGGATTTAAAGTATAGAAATGCAAAAATTTTTTTGCTTTTTTCAAAACTTATTCAGCACTGGAAAATGTTGAAAAAAAAATCCAGTTTTCCAGACTCTGTAGGATCCCTAAACTAATCAAGTACAAATTCTCCCATCTTATTTTCCAAATCCAGCATAAAATAAAACCTGGTGTTGATAAAATACTCACCTCTTCCTTAGCAGCGCAGTGCAGCACAACAGGAGGCCCAACGATGCGGTTCTCGTGTTTGTAGAGGTAGGTGTAGTCAGGGGAGCTGAAATCTGTGAGGACAAACACCGTCTCAAAGTCTGTGTTGTCTCCATCTGCAAACCCCTGGATGTTATCCGTCTTTATGAATGGTGTGTTGATATCCTGAACAGGAGGGAATGTTTGCAGAGATCAGAGCACAAAAAAGACACTAACAAAATAAAATAATAAAAATAAAAAAACAGTTTTGAGCCTTGTTGACCATGTTAGTCAGGCTTTTCTTTTATGGGTATGTACGTGTCAATATCCATTGTATTAATAATATGACAAAAAAAAAAAAAACTAATGAAATTATTAAACCCTTTCATTAATTAGATCATTTATTTAATGTCAACAAATCTCAATAAAAAATAAATAGAGCATCAAACAGCAGATTCTGGACATGTACACAGAAAGCATGACCTTTTCCTCCCTGCATTAGAAGCACTGGATCACTGCATGCCAGTTCAGCTGCTCTAACACAGGATTTCAATAAACAATTTCATTAGGTTTTGAAATGCTTCCCCCACCTTCCCAGATCTTTAATCCATCAAGGAAAACAGGAATAATAGTCTCCAGCGCACAATTATTCAGTTTTATATACTGCATAGCATTCAGCACTGGTGAAAACAATCAATTGCAACCGAGAAAATGAGAGTGTCGAGTTACAGCTGAGCTGTTTAAATCAATGGTCTCATACTAACTGCCAGGCTGAGTTAGCCTCCAGCATGGTGAACGGGAGGAAAGGGTTCATGCTGCCAAACTGCTAACCTGGTTAGAAAATAAACTGGGACATTAAACAATATATATTCCACAAGGCAACAGAGAATGGAGGAAAATTATAGGAAGCTATGAACTGGCAACAGTTATTACATTGTTACAGTCAGCACCAACATATTAGAGTTGCAGAACACAATTAAAAAAGAAACACCATTATGCGTTTTACCCCTGCAACACAAGTTTGTAACAAATAAGAACAAAAACTGATAGGAAAAGCTTGTTAACTGGACTCATTTTCAAAATATTTGATGTCAAAAGTAAAAATAATAAAATTGCAGTGTTCGTTCTTAAGCTGACTCAAAGAAAGGCTAAAACACTTAAAAGCAGAAAACAACTTTAGCCAATGAAACTAAAAAATCAAATCAGAATAGATAAAAGTCATTACTTTTTTTTAATAGTCAAAGTATTGACTAACACAATGGTCGGCAACCCAAAATGTTGAAAGACCAAAAAAACTAATCTGTCTGGAACGGCAAAAAAATTAAAAGCCTTATAAAAGGCTTATACTGAAGGCAAAACAGGCTTCAAGTGTTTATATTAGCCTATTATCAAAATGACTAAGTATATACATAATTAGCATTCATGATTAAATGTTTATATTCCCTGCAGAGCGTCCTAGAAGGAATGATGCACCACGTGACTACTCTGTTGTACAATGGTGCTTTAAGTTTACCTTCCGTTACAATATTAATGTATTATGTTTCGTTGCATTGATAAAATTAAATAAATGCAATAAAGAAATCAGATTTTTGATGTCACTTTTATCATGAAGATCGACATGGAAAGGGTATTTTTTTTCCCTTTTGGAACTCGAAAAAAAACTCTGTGCAAATGCCAAGCACGTCAGTGCAAGGGTAAAACATAGCAGCATCCTCTTCTCTTTCGACATGCTACCAACGCAGCCATCCTTGGACCTGAGGATGTTAAACACAATAATATTGCTAAGTGTCATTCTACATATACACTGACAAAGATCACTAATCAATTTATAAAAACAACCACTTTGTTACTAAATGTGCCTATGGTAGGATTGTGTCCTACGTATTTAATGCGACTTCTGTTTACAGACATCACTGGACAGCTTCTCAACATCGGGCATGTAAGATGTAACTTTAATCTTGACACGGCAGTTAATGTACCATGTTTTCCCTGGAAATGTCTTTCCACATGACCATATTTTTCAGACTATAAGCCGCTACTTTTCCCCCACGCTTTGAACCATGCGGCTTATAGCCTGGTGCGGCTTATATATACATGTACATTTCCAGTTTTTTTTTTTTTTTTTTTTTTTTTTTTTTTTTTTTTTTTTTTTAATTTTAAAAAAATTTTTGGGGGGGGTTTTATTAAAGGGTGTGGCGCTAATTT